CCAAAGAGGACGCAGCCGTGGTCCTTGGTGTACTTGGCGACCCACGCGTCGACGACCGCGGGGTCGGACGTCGGCGCAGGCGTCGGGCCCGAAGTCGGCGTGTCCGTCGGACCGTCGGTGGGTTCGTCCGTTGGCACGGGCGTCGGTGCCTTTGTCGGAATAAAGTCATAAATGTACGACGTCTTGCCCGTGCATGTGTCGAGCGCCTTGATCGCGGGCGGGCACGTCACGGGCAAAAGCGGTGCAATCTCCTGGTCGTCATGCGCTTGCTGGTAGATGAGTGGCTTGGACTTGGTCCAGCACGTAATGACGTCGGCGAACGCGCCATTGGTGCAGAGGAGGACCACATCGAGCTTCTGTTCCTTCTTAAACGCATCCCGGATCGCCTTTGTCGAGATGTTTTTGCCAATGCTGTTGGGAAGGAGCGCCGGCGTCTTGATAAACTTGGCGACTTGCACCACGGTCTTGAGGTACGCAGCTTCGTGGAGGCCGCCGCAGGGATACCCAAAGCTCGTGACGTCCATGATCGGGTCGGTTGCGTTCGGGTCCCACATGTGGTCCAGGTCCCGCGTCATTGTGAGCGGGAAATATTGGACCAAGTTGTCGCGCCCGGCCGCTCGGATGGCGTCGGGGCTAAAGAGGTTGATGGGCGCGTCGCAGCGTGGAATGGTCCAGTCCTTGTTGCGCGGTACGAGGCCGGACGAGACAAGGTTGCGCTTGAGAAACTCGGTCGGGTGCGAGCAGAGACGCTCGCAAAAGCACTGGCAGTGCTCGGGCGTCCACGTCGACGTGTGCACCCAGTAGTCTTGGACGCCCCAGTTGGCAATGGTCTCAGCCTGCACGAACGCGGCACTCGCCACCACCGCAAGCGCCAAGGCAATCATGGATACGTGGCTGGAAACAGCAAATAGAATTGTGAAAGCGCTTGGCGATCAACTCCGATCTGAGTCGGGCACGGCACGATCTGAGTCCCGGGCATTTGCGGTTCGTGGAATCTGACTTGGTGGCAGATGCAAAGAAGGAACGGCCGAGTAGCGCGAGGTTCGAGACTGTCTGCATCAGATATCGCCGCTAGCATCGTTTTTTCTCTTTAGCGAGAACAATGGGTGTCATAGTGTGGGCGTATGACGGCCATTGGGTGCGCTTTTGACGTGGTGTGGACATGCCACCCCACAATCGATAGCGTACCGAGACGGGACAGCCGTAGGTTGTGGATGACATATGGTCAACGCCTGTGGCCTTCGGTACCAAGACAATCGAAGCGTTCGGAGCGTTCGATTTGCATTGCCCTATGGAGCCTGCTGGCTCTTTCCTCCAACGAAAATGAGCACTGTGTTCGCATTGTGCGGGCTAGGGCTAGGCTAGGGAGGGCTTTGGTCCTGTGAAAGAGATACATGCCAGTGTTGGGATGATTTTATCAAGCTTGAAATCTAGCACGATATTTACAACAATTTATTGTGACGAATTATGCCGAACAACCGTGGCCACTCCTCAGAGCCGTTTCCTGCTCGACGACGCGTGCATTGCGTCCATCGAGGCAGTTTTGGAACGGTCTGGAGCGCTTCGAAAGTCACCATATGCTCTCGGAGGCGACTTGCATCCACTTACATCTGAATTGCGATAGACAATAATGCCATTGGAATCGCAATGTTGTTGCAGAAACCATAACCCAGATGCATGCACCAGTACTGGTCATTCGGCATAGTGCTCAAAGTTTGACGTTCGTCATCCATCAATCGCTAGTGGTGAGTAGCTAGCAATACCGGTAATCGCATCGCAGACTACAGTGCACGAGTTAAAACCACCACGAGCCCGATCCCGAGTCCGATGGCACATCCTCCGACGTTGGTGCCGGTGTCGGGGCCTTGGTGGGCGCCTTGGTTGGAGCTTTGGTTGGAGCTTTCGTGGGCGCCTTAGTCGGCGTTGGTGTTGGCGCTGGCGTCCGCTTGGTGCAGCCCGCGGCCGACAGAAGTGCGTCGAGCTGACCCTTGTC